ATGGTCTACTGGCGTAGATAAAATTCCAAGGACATCCTATGGGTATGTTGACATGATTGGCTCCGCAAAGGTCAATGTTCCACAACCACAACAATTCCTCCTAGTCAGTATACTTATGCAGTCATGCTATCATTGTGCTCATCCACAATATGGACATAAAAATTAAGATTATGTGAAACAACATAGATCAGAATTATTTCTTATGGTAAATTACAATTATACAAAATAGATGGAAATAAGTTTTTCATGATATCTAGCCATGCTTATCCCGGACAACAAAAAATGTAGCCAATTCCAAATAAAAGAATAGGAAGGTTATCTAACATATTTGAGTGAACGATAGAGTTACCTCAGAATGCTTCAAGTCATGTGTCCTTACCCCTGTCATGATTCCCAAATCCCAAGCTCTATATTTCTGGCACATGGACTTGCACATCATCTGTAGTCAAAGGCAGAAGAAAGTTCAGTGAAGAACTTGTTAGTTGCTACTCCATCTATGTTGTCCTATCAGACTATTAAACAGAACAACTACTACATTATGACTATTGAATTGATAAAGAGGGTGAGTAAATTTGCACACAGATCAGAGAGAGACAGACAATGAACTATCATAGGCATATGTATGAACTAACAAGAAAAATGGAAGATTCATAGAAAGGGGAAGAAAGGCGGTGGAGCTTAACTGTGCAGGAGGAGTCCGACGACATTGGGTGCTGGGTGGCTAGGAAGGAGACGGTGATGGGCTCGTGGAGGAGGCGAGGAGCCAGGGGACTGTAACCTCGTGGATACGTGGCAAAGGCGAGGAAGAAGTAGAGGACTATATCCTCCTTTGGATCAGTGGCGGCGTGTCCAGATCGAGTTGATCCGGCCGGTGAGGCGGCTCGTAGTGTCGAAGCGAGGGGAAGCGACATTGGCTGGCCTGTATGTTGTCGGCGTGTCGCGACCCATGTTGGAGGTGAGACGGTGTTGGAGTCCATGTGTTGTGGCTACAGAACGATCATGCTGCTCGGCGGAGGAGAGGAACCCCGCCACCGATGACGAAGGTCGAGCCCGCTCCGTCTCGCGTCGCCGACGGTACTTGAGAGAGGAGAAGAGCCCCGGTGGCATCATGCGGTGGCGGAGAGAAGGTGAGAGGAGGGAGGAGGAAGTGGACGAAATGAAGGGATAGAGGACGACGCGGGGCAAAGGCCAAGCTGAGCGGCGGCAGACGATGAGTGGATCGGCGGGGCCGTGAACGACGCGGGAGGATCAGCATCCGGCAACCCGCACGTGCTGTGGCGTCCGCTGGGAGGAGGGTGTCAGTTGGAAGGAGGATGAGATGGAGGGGGCGAAGTCGTGCGGGCGTGCGTTGTTGGCAGTCCTACCAAACTATAAAACAGAACAACTGCTACATTACGACTACTAAAATGATATAGAGGGTGAGTAAATTTGCACACATATCAGAGAGAGACAGACAATGAACTATCATAGGCATATGTATGAACTAACAAGAAAAATGGAAGATTCATACAAAGGGGAAGGGAGGTGGTGGAGCTGAACCATGCAGGAGGAGTCCGACGACATTGGCTGCTGGGTGGCTAGGAAGGAGACAGTGATGGAAACCTCATGGAGGAGCTAGGGGACTGTAACCTCGTGGATCCGTGGCAAAGGCGAGGAAGAAGTAGAGGACTATATCCTCCTCTGGATCAGTGGCGTGTCCAGATCGAGTTTATCCGACTGGTGAGGCGGCTCGCAGCGTCGAAGCAAGGGGAAGCGATGTTGGTTGACCTGTACGCTGCCGACGCGTCGCGACCCAGTTGGAGGTGATGTGAGGCGGTATTGGAGTCTGTGTGCTATGGCTGCAGAACGATCCTACTGCTAGGCAGAGGAGAGGAACCCCGCCACCGATGACGAAGGCCGAGCCCGCTCTGTCTCGTGCCGCCACCGCTGCTTGAGGGAGGAGAGGGGCGCCAGCAGCATCGTGCGGAGGTGGTGAGGAGGTGAGAGGAGGGAGGAGGAAGTGGACGAAATGAACGGATAGAGGACGACGCGGGGCGGAGGCCAAGCTGAGCGGTGGCGGACGATGAGTGGTTCGGCGGGGCCATGAACGGCGCGGGAGGATCGGCGTGTGGCAACCCGCCTATGTTGTGGCGTCCGCTGGGAGGAGGGTGTCAGTTGGGAGGAGGAGGAGATGGAGGGGGCGAGGTCGTGCGGGGTGCGTTGTTGGCAGTGTTTTTTTTTCGAACGGCAGGCGGGTAGGCAGGTTAGCGATTGATGGATTAGTGGCTTTATTGCGTGTCTTGTAGCTTATACACCGGAGGGTTAGGGGCCATTAGATCTTGTAGATGGATGGGTCCGATTGTTTGGATCTGCCCCCTCTCTTCTTTTTATAGGGGTAGTAGATAAGCAAGTGTCGCGTCCTACTTAAGGTTATTTGAGCCATTTTCTTTTTCTTGTTTAATTCCGTTTCTTTGTTTTTCTCCATTTTTCTTTCATTCTCTTTCTTTGTTTTCTATTTTCTATTTTCTTCTTCTATTTTTTTTCTTATGCTTGTTTTTGTTTTCACTCTATATTTTTGTATATGTTAAAAACATTTTTTAATAAGTGATCAATATTTTTTGTACACACATTCAACATTGTCTGAATGCTTATTCAACATTTTTTAAATATTTGTTCAACATTTTTTAAAATTGTGAAACATTTTTCAAATACTTGTACAACATTTTTTTAATACTTATTCAACATTTTTCAAATACTCTATCAACATTTTCTAATACTTCTTCAACATTTTTCAAATACGTTTTTAACATTTTAATAATTATTTGACATTTTTCAAATACTTGTTCAACATTTTTCAAATATTCGTTCAATATGTTTTAATACTTATTCAACATTTTTTAAATACTTGTTCAAAAATTTTCAAATATGTTTTTAAGAGATTTTTTGTATCTTATATACATGTAATTTTTTAAATTATAAATAAAATTACAAAAATAAAGCAAAAAAGAACAGAAAACAGAAAAAAAAACAGGCCGGCCCATACGCGAGGCTTGCCCCTCTCTCGGATAAGGCAATAAATAGGGGCCAGGACAGGAGCTACCACATATGAGGTCTTTACGTGAAAAAAAGAGCATGAGAGAGGGTGTGTGCTTCACCAATATGGGCCATACAGCTATAAAAATGCAGCCCATGGCCTAAAACGGGGAACCTTGGCCCCGGCTCCAGGTCTGTTCGCCACAGCCCGCAGCCCTTGCAGGTCCTTACGTTTCCACCGTCCAATGATCCTAGAGGGAACTCCTATTGGACGCTCGCTGCGGCAAGCAGTCGGCTCTTCGCACAGGGCAGGTGCGAGGGAGCGACCGAGTGGGCCGGCCCATTTAGCGTTACAGCAGACCCGGTTTTGGAACCTTCTATAATGTTTCCAGCCGGTTTTTTCCGGTTTTGGGAACCTTCTAGAAGGTTCCTCAACCAACTTTTTCTTTTTCAGTTTCTTTTTCGTTTTTCGTTTTTCTATTTCTCTTCTTTTACTTTTTTCTTTTTTTCTATTTCCTTTTTTCTGTTTCTTTCTTCTTTTCCTTTTTTCTTTTCAAGTTTATTTAAAAAAAAATCCAAAAATCAAATTTTTTTCCTGTTTTTCAGATTTTGTTCAAGAATTCAAAAAATGTTCCCATTTCACAAATTTGTTCATAAATTGAAAAAATGTTCCTGCTTTCAAATTTTTGTTCTGAATTTTCAGAAAATGTTCCTGTTTTTTCAAAAATTGGTCAAATTATTTTTATTCATTTTTTGAGAAATTTAAAAATTAATGGCATGGATTTAAAAAATGCCTGTTTTCAAAAATTATTCACAAATTTCAAAAAATGTTCTTATTTTTCAATTTTTTGTTCATGTATTAAAAAATGTTCTTCTTTTTCGTATTTTTCAGAAAATGTTTTTATTTTTTAAATCATGTTCAGTTTATGCAGCTGAAAAATGTTCACCTATGTAAAAAATGTTCGCACTTTCAAAAAATGTTCGAAGCACTAGAAAAAAGTTTTCGTTTCAACTGTTTGGTCATGTATATAAGAAATGTTCTCCTTTTCAAAATTGTTCTCAGTTAAAAGAAATTTGTTCTGAATTTAAAAAGTTGTCCCCATTTTCTAGTTTTGTTCAACAATTCCAAAAAAATTGTTCACAAATTTCAAAAAATGTTCTTATTTTCAAAAAAAAAATTCATGTATGAAAAATTGTTCTTGTTTTTCAAAAAATGTTCTTAGTTTTTCAAAAAAAGAACATTTTCTGAAAATCATGAACATTTTTTTTAAATAGGAACATTTTCCAAATTCCAAAACCAAATTTGGAAATGTGAACAAATTTTGAAATCCCTGGACAAAATTTGCAAACACGATTTTTTAAAGTGGAAGAATTTTAAACTCCTAAAAATGAAAATATGAAGAATTTTTGGAATTTGTGGAGGAAATTTGAAAACAAGAACCTTTTTAAAATTTATGAAGAAAATGAACAAAAACATTGCAAACATTTTTTGTAAAACAAGAACAATTTTTGAAATGTGCGAACATTTTTTAGATGATGAACATTTTTTCCAAACCACGAACATTTTTTAACAATTGAACGTTCTTTAGAAATACGAACAAATTTTAAACTTCTCAAACAATTTTCAAAACAAAGAAACAAAAAAACGAAAAAGGAACACAGAAAAAATAAAAGAAAGAAGAAAAAGAAACAGAAAAAAGGATTAAAGAGATGAAACAGAAAAATAAAAAATAAAAACGAAAGAAAACAATAAAACTGGTATAAAAATAAAAAATCGGTTCAGGGAACCTTCTGCGAATGCCCGATATTTTGACGCAGTTAGCGTCAAATAGGAATTTCCGATCCTAGATCCGGGTCCCTTGTCAAAGGGGATCGAGGGTTTCCTTCCAAGGGAGGTTGCCGACTCTTCCTTGCATTGCCAGAAAACCTAGATCTAGGCGAGTCTCCTTCCTCCTCCCTCCACCAAAATCGACGCAACCCTAGCCCCCATGGCCCCTACCAGCACCACCTGGGTCTTGCTCAAGCGAATGATTTTCATCGAGCACGACGCGAGCGAAACAGGAGGGGATTCGTTCATCGGCGGGAAGAACACAAGAGACGCCGTCCTCGCCTACCTGCGGACCTTGAAACCAGATGCCTGCTTCGCCAATCCACCGGAGCTGTCCTCCCTCCGCATACTGCGGCCGATGAAATTCACCCCGGGGATATGCGGAGATGTCACTTCCGCCTACATCGCCAGCGGGGACAAAAATCTCGTCGCTCTCTTCGCCGACCCTTACCGCCCCGGCACCAATTCACAAGGAGGCTATCTGATCTACGACGCCAGCAAGAATTCCCTCTCGACGATCCCCCAGCCCCCCTGTGACTACGACCGTGAGGACGTCGGGCTTGGAGCGGTTGTCATCTGCCTCGAGGAGGGCGCATACGTTCTTGTCGAGCTCACCAAGGTAAGAGACTCTGAGCCCACCGTAGCCGCACTCTACACGTGGCAGTCTTCCACCACGGAGTGGGTCATCAAGCTCGCGAGCTTTCCCCCCGAGCTGTCCTTTCCCAACCATTTCTTCCGGGCAGGGACGTGCTTCCCTTATCGAGGCTCTAGACTCTGCTGGGTGGATCTGTTTAAAGGCATGATGGTCTGTCATCTGGACGCGTTGCTTCAGGATGGCGGCCGCCCAGAGTTCTGCTTCATTCCGTTGCCTGAAGAGTGCCCGGCATTTGACCGTGTCCAAATGTCCGAACAGACATATCCACTGGAGGCGGAGGAGTTCCGTTACATTGCCTGTATTGGTGGCGTGATCAAATTCGTCACCATGGATGGCTATGGCGAGCGGCCCGGCCATGAAGTAACACTGACCATCTGGACGCTGTCGCAGAACCTCTGCAGTTGGAAGAAAGACAAGGTGTACCATGTCCGGGACATCTGGAAAAGTGAGAGCCACATCTCGTTGGGCCTGCCGGAGGTCTTGCCGTCGTTCCCGGTGCTGAGCATGGACGAAGAAGACGTTGTCTATCTGTTCTTCACTGACCTGAACGTGACAGAGGACGGTGACACGGAGTTCAAAGGCCAGTGTTTGATTCGTGTCGACATGAAGCATAGCAAGGTCTCCCACCATCCCAAAAGTGCAGATGAGATGCCAAGTCAACTCTTCAGCAGTGAAATTCTTGCCAGTGAGTGCACTGCATACCTACAGGGCGTGGAGGACCACCAGGTAATACTACTAACTATGGCTAACAATGTATAGTTTCACTGGCCTAGTACTGTTATTATGCATGGGTTCACAAATGATTAAAATCCGAATAATTTGATTGCTTGTGAATATTAACATGTTATGCTGACTCTCCATGTTGAATACGAGATCACAGATACTGGAGTTCATTAACAATCATGAATTTGCAGTTAATGCCAAATGACTATAACTCCGTACACTAATACTCAATTTTGTCCATCTCAGGATTTTTTTTTGCATGTTTCAGTGCATTTTCTGTTTACAGAGAAATTTGTTATAGTTAGTTCTACTTCTCCACTATTAGGCTTGAATGACATGGCCAATAAGGGAACACAGCAAGGTACATGTCAAACTTCAGCAGTACTCCCTCCATCCCATACTAGTTGAATGCCCGTGCGTTGCCACGGACACACGAAATCCGAAATATGATGTGAAAAGATTACTCGACAAAGTGATAGCATGGACTTGGATATTTTAAATGAGTGCTTTTTATAGAATATATTTTGACAAAAAACAATGTTAAAGGTAATTCAAAATCCATGAACATGGATAAACTTGTTTTTAAATGTAGATAATAACTAAATCATCCGTGAAATTAGCACATCTCTTAAAACACCATAGACACAAACAAACATGACGAAACAGTCACCTACATAGTAGATACAAACCAAGTACGTGATAACACTTACAGATTGAAACACACAATCATGCGTAATAGACATAACCAATGTGTACTACATGTGCTGAGCTTTCTTTGTATACATTCTGTGTCGGGAATCCTTTGTAGACAACTCGCTTGCTAGGAAAGCCCACCTCCACTCAATAAATTGCTAAACAAACTTCATATCAATCAACCCACCAGTTATTTTCTGGCGAATATCTGCAAAAATATATATCATAAATGTTGCATTTAATAATATTTAAACTTTGTGTACATATGTTAATAACAATCATAAGTAATTGATTGGTAGTTGATAATAAGTCATGACTACTCACCATCAAGTGTGCGTGCTGCAGTATGATCCGGATTGAATGCAAGGGTGGTGTAGTTTGAAGTTTCCGGAATTCCTATTGCCAAGATAAAAAAGTATTTAAGTCGACATAACAGTACACTTGATAATCACTGTGTAGTTTGAAGTTTCCAGAATTCCTATTGCCAAGATAAAAAAATATTTAGGTCGACATAACAGTACACTTGATAACCACTGTGTAGTTTGAAGTTTCCAGAATTCCTATTGCCAAGATAAAAAAATATTTAGGTCGACATAACAGTACACTTGATAATCACTGTGAAAGTAAGACCATGAAATGGTAAGGTTGATAATCACAGTGAAAGTATACCTTGTGGTGTAATATTTGCTCTTCTTGGTTTGTTATGACGCGAATTTGCTATTTCTATCTGCACATTGCTCTTGTTGATAGGTTCATTTTCATGGTTAACAATATCCATATCTATCAGTGACACATTCTACGAAGTGAAATATATATACAAATATATGAATTAAATATAGTACTGCCATAGTATGAATTAAATATAGTACTGCCATATTTCCCCAGTAATAGTATAATAATTCATATGTAACATGCAAAATAAAAGATTAAAAAGACAAACATCTAAGAAGTTTGATAGCACTGACAGACTGCCTAAATATCTCGGTTCTACAATATATTATATAATATAGAGCCTTGCCAAGAAAACAATTGTACAGTTGTGACTCAGTCTCACTTTGTCCTCACCGCTCACCCCTTTTCCCTTTAGCTAGCCACCCACCCAGCTCCCCTATGCAGCCGCCCACGCGTCATGGGCGCATCCGCACACATCGTGCGACGGCGCGAGGCACCCATCCCAGCCCAACTCCCCCCCCCCGCCTCTTAACCATTCCTGCAGCTTGGCTGCGCCTTCGCGAGCCTCCCACACCTGCCCCCATCACTCCTTGCTTTCCGGCGATATCCGGGGGGCAGCGCTCTCGCAGACGCGCGTCCACCACGCGGCGCCCCCTGCTCCGCGTCCCCCGCTGCGATGACGACACGCACGGTCGGAATCTTCTGGTGGTAACGCCCGACGACTGGCGCGTGGCGTGCAGCGTGAGGAGACCCTGCAACAAGCCATGCTTGCCCGGATGGGCGGAGATCGAGCAGGAGTGGATTCTGTGGTGCACCAGGATGAGGGTGCCCACGAATCTTACCTTGTCACGGCCGGCTCTCCTCTCTCCCTCCGCGTTATGCATTGGTAGCTTTGTTGGATTGGCAACGCCGGTGAAGTTCGATATTGGAGGTAAGCAAAAATCTCGAGGTAGATTGAGTCTCTATATACTCCCTCCGTCCCAAAATTCTTGTACCCTACAAGAATTTTGGGACGGAGGGAGTATATACAAGGCTAGCTAGATGAGTAGTATCGATATACGGTTAGGATTAGGGGTTGTTTGGATTGGGTACGGAGTTTTTGCCAATTCTGTTTCCCGTAAACTCATTTGAAGGGCTAATCACCTGAAATTTGCGGAATTGATAACTTCCGAACGCACTGTGCTTTGTGTTTCGATCCGAACGTGTTCTGTACCATTAGATCAATTGGCGTGGATCTTGAAGCATGTGCTTGACACGTCATGTTTCTCGTTCGTTCGTTCGTTCCAGGAACTCCTCGGCCCGAACGAACGCCTTATCCTCTCCACCGTCACTTTTTCCTTCTGGGCTTCTTTTCCCCATCCCCATCGTCTTCACTGAGAGAGAGAGAGAGAGTCGAGCTGGAGCAGCCGCGCCTTGCCGCCGCTCACCGGTGAGGCCTCGCGGCGCCCCGTCGGTGGATTAGATTTCGGGGAGGCGCTCGAGGGGAGCGACGGCGGCGGAGACCTGGGAGGCGGCGGAGGTGCTGCTCGCAGGAAGTGGCGGTGGCGGCGGCTGCCACACCAGCGGAGCTGTCCAATGCCGCAGCAGGGCCTACCACGGCACCGGCAAGCTGCCTGCACTGCAAGCGGGGAGCGACGCCGGCGGCGACCTGGGAGGCAGCAGAGGTGCTGCTAGCAGGGAGCGGCGGCGGCGGCGACCGACCCTCCAGTGGAGCTATTCAACGCCGCAGCGGGGCCCTACAACGGCTTCGGCACGTTGCCTGCGCAGGGGCCTACCACGGCGCCGCGATTTCCTCTGGCTTGTCGACAAGGTGGACTTCTACCTCGGCGCCGTCTTCGGCAGCATCGATACGGGGATGGTGGTGGCTATGCTCATCTCAGTGTTGCAGGTGCGGCTCTTCTTGGCGCGGCCGAGGACGATGGTCATGGGCAACGTGCCAGAGACGCCCATCTACCGGTGGATGGACCAGTACACGACGTGCTCGACGGCACCCTTCGCGAGAAGATCACCCGGTGGATTGACGACGACGACGAACGAACCTCGTCCTCAACATGTGTGGTACGTTACAACAACTTGGTCTCAAATTTTGCCCACATCTGAGCATCTCAAGCAGAGCATGTCTGAAACGTGCCTTTCTGGACAGAGCGATTGGCAGCATCGACACCAGTGGTACGAGTATGCATTTCGACATGGCAAATTTTGTGTGGAAGATGGTAATTTAGTGAGTTGAAATTTCAATTTGCAATTAAATTTAGATAGTTCATTTTCACATGGCAATTTTTTTCTTCGACCCTGCATCTGTGACACCTCCAGTTCATCTACGATGTATCAACTGCAGGATACAAGTTCGCTAGTGTTTTTGTGTCCTGCCATTGCACATTGCTGCAACATTTTTTTGTAGGCTGCCATTCTGTGGTTTGTTCTAGAGCGCACATGGCAAGTTGGAGATAAAAATGTGACCCCCCCTCCCCCCTAAAAATGATGGAAAAATTGTTTTGCAGTGATGGAAGTTGATATGCACCCCCATTGCAAATTTGCCATGTTTTTTGTTTGGGAAACAACAATAATTGATATGGCAAATTCATATATTTGACATCTTTTTGCAAGAAGATCATTTTGGTTCAGTCATCTTATAGCGGTAAAAATGTCATGGCAATTTTAAACCCATTGTTGCCATGGTCAATTTCAATATGTAGTTTTTGCTTTTGGCGGTACAGATGTCATGGCAATTTTTGGCAAATAAGCTCAGTAGAACACGCTATAGTGGTACTGGCCAAAGCTTCCATTCCGAGTGGTGCTTGTATTCAGGGTCTAATATGACTCATTCACCAGTCACTGCAACGCTCTATCTGAATAGCTTAAGGGTTGATGTTTCCAATCCTGTACATGGCACTTTGGACACATTCTGCAATGAATTTTGAGCCTGAAATTGATGTTTAAGAAAGTATTAGAATTTAAGGACAGCTGCGTGCTAAATCTTATCACAGAGCTACAGAAAAAAGTAGATGAACTGATTATATTCTTTTTGTTCATATAGAAGTATCTATTAGCTTGAAAGACTCATCCTTTAATAGTATAGATATGAGGAGCTCACTGATGGCAAACTCAGCTGAAATTTGGGTTGTTCATAAATTATCAGATACATAGTTCCTTATCCATGTATTTCTAACAAGAGATTATATGCAACTGAAGTTTAAGTCATTATTTTTATTGCTATATGATATTAGATGACTCAGGTTTTTACCATATTAAAGAGAATATGAATTAGAAAGAAATACGAAACCTTAGTAATTTTGTTCTTCTTTACCAAGTCACTGTTCAAGCATCTTCCTCCTGCATATGTTGGAAACTTCACGCTGTCTCTTGTTATTTCCAGCTTAAACAGGTGCATCTTTGACCAAGTATAGGACGGGCAGATGTCGCGAAAGGAATACTCATGGTTGAAGACTGACTATGCTCCCTCGAGTACTACGCAGCAACAAACTCAGGTCAGTGTGCATTAAGATCTACAATAGTATGTGGTTGTAATGCAGAATTGAAAACTTTACCTTGAGTTTCTATAATTTGATCTGGTGACTTCATGTGCTAAGGACTTCCTTGTAGACTATGTTCTTCATGGTCGTTAATAAGGGCTCAGATCTTTTTCGCTTATTTGAATTATTGATTTGTTCCTTGCCCTTGCCCTTACCCTTGCCCTTACCATTGTCGTTGTCCTTGATGGCGAGAATCTTAATGTTCCTCTTCGCAGTGGCTCTAGACAATGCGACGTATAGCTGACCGTGAGAAAATATAGGGTCCGGTAGGTACACTCCGACAATCGGGATGGTCTGCCCTTGCGCCTTGTTGATTGTCATGGCAAAACTGAGCCTAATAGGGAACTGCTTCCTCTTTAACTTGAAAGGGAATATATCGTCATCGGATGGGCAGAGAGGTATCCGAGGAAGGAACACCCTCCTACCAGCATGTTGTCCTAGCACGATTTCTGCATCGATGGCGTTCCTTTGGAAACCCCGGACCACAAGCCTTGTGCCGTTACACAACCCATTAGCTGGATCAATGTTTCTCAACAGTATAACGGGGCAATTTAACTTCAGTTTGAGCGCATGCGGAGGCAGCCCGTTGGGAGTCAGGTTGTTCAGGAACTCTGGGGCATAGTAGCCGTGTGGATCATCCTCTGCAATATCAAAACTGTGGTAGATCTTCTCTTCGCCCTGGAAGCGCTCTATCATGCGTGTGTTTATCTTATCAACGTTGTCGTTCTTGGTGGAGAGGATCGCTCGAGATGTCATGTAATTTGGATCAGCCATGTTGTTGTCTAGAGCAGGAAATACATGGTCGATTAGCTTCTCTAGGTCAACGCCGTCCTTTGTTGGCTGCACACAAATATCTTCAGGGAGCCTTATGTTGCCTTCCTCATCGGTTTCCTCGGTGCCGTTGCCTACCCTTAGCAAGTAATCTGCAAACCACGGGTCGTTATGCGCTCTCATGTTGGTGACGAGCCTTAGTTGGCGCATGCCCTTCCATAGGTACGAACTCCGCAAGGTCGCATCGATTATCTGACCTCGTGACCCCTTCCTGACGACCGGAAGCACCTGCCTAAAGTCCCCACCGAACACGACAGTCTTTCCCCCGAGTGGTCGGTCCCGTCGTCCCATGATGTCCCGCATGCTATTGTCCAGTGCCTCAACCGCTTGCCGCTTCGTCATGGTGGCCTCGTCCCATAGGATGAGTGAAGCCATGTGCAGGAGCTTGGCTGTTCCACTTTGCTTGGTGAAGCTGCACGACCCCCCATCTTCAATGCTGAGTGGGATCTTGAACCTCGAGTGGGCTGTCCTTCCTCCAGGCATGATGGAAGCCGCGACGCCTGACGTCGCCGTAGCCACCGCGATCTTGCCCTCGCCTCGAACCTTTGTGAGTAGTGCCTTGTATAGGAAGGTCTTCCCGGTGCCTCCTGGGCCATCGACAAAGAATACACCCCCATCACCAGCATCGACTGCTGCCAGTATCTCGTCGTATGCAAGCCTTTGCTCAGGGTTTAGTGAGGACGCTAAAGCAGCATCGTTCGCGTCAACCTCGATGGATGACTCCTCGGTGACTTCTCTGGCCTCGCCTCCAGTAGTGTCATAGGTCTCGTCGATGTCCGGAAGAAGGAACAACACTATGTCTTTGCCCATGGACTGTAGCATGCCCCTAATGTCAAGCAACACCATCTGTTCCACTGCCTTTGAGCACGTGTGTGATCGGCGGTAGTCATCAGACATCGCCTCTAGGTGCCTATCCCATAGACCGCGCACGTCACCTGGCTCGCAGAATACCAAGATTGTTGCAAAGAGCCTCCTGAGTGAGGCTGGCATCGCGAACTGTGTTGACTCTGTAAGACACTCGTCAAGCGTGTTGTCGGCCTCGATGAGGCCCAATCTCTCGGCAGCCTCACGGAAGCTATCACAGAGCACACCGTCCACGGTCCGCAGGTCCTCGAAGGATGTCTTGCCTGGTACATGGTTGAGCAGCACTCGCAGAAAGTACCGCTCCCCCTCGGCTGGATGGGCTGACACGATTCGACCTACTTGGTGCTGCTTTTCTCTCGGCCTCCAGTACTTCTGTCTCTGCCATGTGAAACTTCCCGGAAAGTCCTTGTACAGGATATCCCGAGCCCACACGTGCTGCTGATTAGCAAGGAAATACTCCGTCAGCATTGATTTAGATGCATTATCACGGGCAACGACATCGATCAGGTCCTCTCCTGCTTTGAACGTGACACTATTCATATTAGGGAGATGAAGCGGCAACTGTAGGACCGACGGGAAACTCTCAGAAAGGTTGAAGCCGAATATCCTCCACATCGCCTCCGGTGGAGTAACCCATCTCGCATCAACGTACCTTTTAATCTCATCTACAACCCCGTTGCTGTCAGGCTGGTCAATGCTGAATGAAGCTCGATCGTGACCCTTGTATACGTATTTGTAAAGGTACTTGACGGCCTTGATGCTGGAGCACACCTTGACATTTATGTGGCAGTTGAACATCCGCAACAGATAAGGGTTATAAGGCACGACCCATCTGTTATCCAGCATTTGACGGCGTACCTTAGCCTGACGACCATCGTCCCGCCGTCGATAAACCGGGTATGAATCCTTCCCCTGTAAGGTGTTCTGGTTGAACGGTCGTGGGTACTTGCTCTTGCACTTCAAGTCTTGCATGCACACATTTTTGGGATTAAGATTGCCACATGGTCCGTGCATCATATGCTTCACGACCATGGCATAGAGCTCTGGATACTTATGCCTGTCCGGGAGCTCTGCCGATATGAGGCGATCATACTGCTCTGGCACCACGAGTTTATAATTTGAATTCATGATCAGCAGGAAGTGTGCATGGGGGAGGCCTCTCTTCTGGAACTCAACGACATACACATACGCTACCACAACACCAAGGATGTGTTTTTTGAACAACATTTGTTTCATGGTCTCTAGCTTGGCCTTGAACACGCGTGCGACAAGATCTGGTCGGTCCTGGGGTGTCTGGCCAGGAAGCAGCTCATTCAGTATCTCCTCCCAGCTAGGATTGCATGTCATAGTCAAAAAGATGTCAGGCTTCCCATATGTCTGCACCAGTGCCATGGCGTCCATATGCCTCCGCTTCATGTCTCGGTTGCTTCCTTGATGCGTCCCTGGTAACACAATCCTCTTCCCAACAGCGCTCGCTCGCATCTCCCCAACCGCGATGCTATCCACAAGGCCTTGGTATAGATCGGCACGTATCTCTGTCTGGTGGTCCCTGATCCACTTCAGCCTACATCCCTCAATCTTGATGAACATGTCGACACCCCACTGCTGAAACAGGCGTGCTCCGTGCAGTATGGGGTTGAATATCGCAGGGCGCGTCTGTAGCCGGTAACAGTAGTAGTCCCTGACAGAGACACACAACCGGCTGTTCCCCTCTGTGGAAAGACGTGAAATAAGAAGGTTAGGTACCATATGGAAGGATAGAGAACTTTTTGTGGCATATAAGCATACCAACCAGGCGCACCTGAATCGTTATCACGGTTTCTTCTTGGTTGTTGTGCAACCTCCCAAGGGACATTGTGCTTAGGGATATTTGGATGCCAACCAAGCTCCCCCCTTGGGAAAAAGAGGGGATACGA